AAGCAGGAGTTGAACAATGAGAACATATGGGCACAGGGAGGCAAACATCACACACTGTCCTGTCGGGGGTGAGAGGCTAGGAGAGGGATAGCATTAGGAGAAATACCTAATGTAGATGATGGGTTGATGGGTGCAGCAAACCACCATGGCACATGTATACCTATGTAACAAACCTGCACCTTCTGCACATGTATCCTAGAACTTAAAGTTTAATTTTTTAAAAAATCTGTATTCCAAAAAAAGAGAAAGGTTGTCATTTCTCGCCATGTATTTATTTATCCAATTTTTTATGTCAGTATGGACTGTTGTAAATTACTTATTTTATTCTATGAACTACAATCCATAACTATCATTATTGTGTTACTCAACATGTTCTGGAGCTGGTCACTGAGAGCCCCTTCAAGTTGGTTATTGTGCTCTTTTGACAAACACTAATCATTTTTTGAGTACTTTATTATTTTCTAGTACCACAAGAAAATAATTTCTTAAAAAAAGATGTTCTAGATACATCTTGTTCTTTCCCTGTCATGATCCTTCAATCAGACATTCCTGCAAGGAGCCCTGGTTCCTTTTATTAGAGAATGATATTTAGAAACCAAGATTGGGAAGCTAGTTGTGCTCATTATTAGTGGGATATTATTACCTCTAGGTTTCCTCATCAGAGCTGGGAAATACACATGTATCTATATCTTCTTATCTATATTTTTATCTATGTATCTAACTATTAAAAACCATGAGTATATACTGATACCTCCAATTCTCATCTAACACCACAACATTCATTCTAGCTGTCCACCTTTTTCTTGTTTGTAACTTGCTTCCTCAACACCAAAGAACTTGGCTCTCCTTATTCATGCTATATTTACCTATTTGTTCAATCTTCATGTATATATGATAAATAGATTTGCTAATTAGAGAACAGACCCCTTAAGCAGCAACACCAACACAATGTGGTACAAGTTGTATGTGTTTTTTTTTTTTTTTTTTTTCTGTCTTTAGCCTTTGTATCAATCCATTCTCATGTTGCTATAAAGAAACACCTGAGACTGGGTAATTTTTTTTTTTGAGACAGAGTTTCCCTCTTTTGCCCAGGCTGGAGTGCAGTGGTGCAATGTTGGCTCACTGCAACCTCCAGCTTCCCCTTTCAAGCAATTCTTCTGCCTCAGCCTCTGAGTAGCTGGGATTACAGGCGCCTGCAACCATGCTCAGCTAATTTTCGTATTTTTAGTAGAGACAGGGTTTCACCATGTTGGCCAGGCTGGTCTTGAACTCCTGACCTCATGATCCACCTGCCTTAGCCTCCCACAGTGCTAGGATTACAAGTGTGAGCCACTGCACCTGGCCGAGAGTGGATACTTTTTATAAAGAAAAGAAGTTTAATTGGCTCACAGTTTTGCAGGCTGTACAGAAAGCATAGTGGCTTCTGCTTCTGGGGAGGCCTCTGGAAGCTCACAATCATGGTGGAAGGCAAAGTTGGGGCTTGCATGTCACATGGTCAGAGCAGGAGCAAGAGAGAGCAAGGGAGGAGGTACTACACACTTTTAAATGACCAGATCTCATGAGAACTCACTCTCAAATGGACAGTACCAAGAGGGACGGTGCAAAACCATTCATGAGAAATCTGCCCCCATAATCCAATCACCTTCCAACCCCACCTCCAGCAATGGGAATTACATTTCAATATGAGATTTGGACGGGGCACACATCCAAACTATATTAGCCTTATAGTAAGTAGTCAAAATATGGTTTTCTAGGTTACTTTGTTAGTTCCTTTTGCCTTCTTCCTCAATATGGTTACATCATTCATTTGTAATAGAGTTAGGTTTATTTGTTACTGTTCATATTCAATTTTGGGTTCCCATCACATCCTGATTGAAGTAAACTTACTGTTTTAGGGTGAGATGGGGATATGTGTAGCAGTATCATGGTCCTCAAAGTCATACTATACAAACAGCATGCTTGGAGAACTGTCATTGTCCCCATCCCTTCTATCCTCACCCTCATTCCCTCATTCTTTCCATACTATCCCTACTAATCCACTATAGGTAACCAATCTCATCAGATTCTTGTTTATCCTTCCTATACTTCTTTTTCCACAAATGAGAAGATACATGCATATTTTATTATTTCTCTTTTTTGAGGCAAAGTTACTCTTTGTTGCCCAGTCTGGAGTTCAGTGGCATGATCTCGGCTTACTGCAACCTCTGCCTCCCGGGTTCAAGTGATTCTCCTGCCTCAGACTCCTGAGTAGCTGGGACTACAGGTGCATGCCACCAGGCCTGGCTAATTTTTTGTATTTTTAGTAGAGGTGGGGTTTCACTGTGTTAGTCAGGATGGTCTCTCTTGTTTACATGAAAGGTTAGCACACTATATGTTTCACTGTAGTATTTTTTAAAAGCATGGTAGAATTCTGTCTTTCGAAATCTGATAGAAGTCAGGCTGAGGCAGGTGGATCATGAGGTCAAGAGATCAAGACCATACTGGCCAACATGGTGAAACCCCGTCTCTACTAAAAATTCAAATATTAGCTGGGCATGGTGGCATGCGCCTGTAGTCCCAGCTACTTGGGAGGCTGAAGCAGGAGAGTCGCTCGAACTCGGGAGGTGGAGGTTGCAGTGAGCCGAGATCATGCCACTGCACTCCAGCCTGGCAACAGAGAGAGACTCCGTCTCAAAAAAAAAAAAAAAAAAAAAAAAAATTGATAGAAGTTATCCATGAAACTACCAAGACATGGAGACTTTCAAGAGAAATGTTCTTTGATAATTTATACAATTCCCTGGTTATTGTATTTGTATCAAAATGTACAAATTTATACAATTGTATAAATTGTATTCAGGGTGTGTCTTTTCTCAAGTCAATTTCTGGTAATTTATGTCTTCCCAGGAAAGTTAAGATATTGAGTAGGAGATGCAAATCCTTCTTTGCTTCAGAGAAAATTTGCCTATATTTTATTTTCTCCTCTCTCTCCATGTGGAATTACTGTTACATGCATATTAGACCTCTATAGTCTAGCCATTATAGATCATCTTTTCTCTTCTGTTCTAGTTCATACATTCAGCTTTCTTCGGATCTTCTGTTCATTGTTTCTACTGAGATTTAAATTTAGCAAACTGAAAATGTTTCCTAATTTTAGTTTGTAATTTCTTAATCCACTACACTTGCAAGTGCAATATCCTCCCAAATATTATTAAAAACGTAAAAGAGAAATATGTTAAAATTGTTTTTCCTCTTCTTCTTGTGGAAATTTCATTTCAAAGGAAACTAATTTTCTCTGATCATGTTCCTTTCTGTTGAAAGTCTGAATCTTTTTGTGTTTTCATATCATTGGTTTTTCTCTCTTTGCTCATTTTTACCAGGAAGGAGTCTATATTTACTCTGGAATATAAATTGACGTGGTTCTGCTGATTATCATGAATAGTCGGTATTCAATCAAGTAAATAAGTGGAGAGAGGTATTTTAAGCAGGTGGAATAGAGAGGGAAGAGCATGAAGATAAAAAAGTCCAACGTCAGCAAGGCACAGTGGCTCACACCTGTAATCCCAGCACTTTGGGAGGCCAAAGTGGGAGAATCATTTAAGCCTAGGAGTTTGAGACCAGCCTGGGCAACATAGCAAGACTCCATTTCTACCAAATAATGATAATAATAAGCCAAGCATGCCTGAGCCAGGAGTTTGAGGCTGCAGTGAGCTCTGATCATGCCACTGCACTGGGCGACAGGGAGACCAATGTGGATTTTCTTTTTTCACATATTTTATGTACTGGGATATAACTTAGAAAGAGCAGAATATGCAACTTTTAAGTGAACATCTCACTAACTTGTTCATAGGTACACACCATTTAACCACCATCAAGATAAAAATACCACCCCAGAAAGTTCACTCTCTGTCTACTTTCTGGTTAAATTGTTCCCTGCTGCCAAGATAACCATCATTCTGACTCCTGTTGCTATAGATTAGTTTGCTGGTTCTTGAACTTCATATAAATGGAATCTTGCACTATATTTTCTTTTGTGTCTGGCTTCTTTTGCTCAACACAGTTTTTGTGAGATTCACCTATGTTGACACATGCCTCAGTCATTTATTCCCTTTTACCACTGAGTAGCAATCCAGTGTATGAATATCCCATACTTAAAAAAATGCATTCCACTGTTAATGATATTTGGGTTGTTTCCAGTTTGAGGCTATTAAAAATAAAGTTGCTATAATCATTCATATATACATGTTTCTGTGGGGATATATACATTCATTTATCTTAGCTATATACCTAAGAGTGGAATTTCTGGGTCCTAGGTAGATGTATATTTGACTTTATTAGATACTGCCTCAGTTTCCCAAACCCGTTGTGCCATGTTACACTCCTACAAGCAACATACGAGCGTTCCAGTTGCTCCACATCCTTGCCAACATTTGGTGTTTTCAGTATGAATTTTAGCTATTCTAACGGCAGTTGTCACTTATGGTTTAAATTTGCATTTCCCCAAAGACTCATCATGTTAGCACATGTGATTATTGGCCATTCTATCTTTTTTTGGTGAAGTGTCTTTTGCCCATTATTTATTTATTTTTTTGAGATGGAGTTTTGCTCTTGTAACGCAGGCTGGAGTGCAATGGTGCGATCTTGGCTTACTGCAACCTCCATCTTCCAGGTCAAGTGATTCTCCTGCCTCAGCCTCCCAAGTAGCTGGGATTACAGGCATGTGCCACCATGCCTGGCTAATTTTGTATTTTTAGTAGACATGGGGTTTCACCATGTTGGTCAGGCTGGTCTCAAACTCCTGACCTCGGGTGATTTGCCCAGCTTGGCCTCCCAAAGTGCTGGGAGGCCAAGCTGGGCAAATGAGCCACTGCACCTGGCCTCTTTTGCCCATTTAAAAATTGGACTGTTTGTCTACTACTTTTGAGTTGTGGGATTTCTTTATATATTCTGGCTATAAGTTACTGGAAACCCTACTATCCACTGGTGAATAGTAATGATGTCAATTGAGATAGGGAAAGCAGGACAAGGCATTTAAGAGAAGATGAGGAATTCATTTTAGGGCATGGAGTAATCAAAAGGCTTTCAGGTTGATTACCTAGGTATGGATGTACAGAGAACACTTGGAATTATAGATCTGGAGCTCAAGAGAGAAGTCTGGGTGATAGTTTAGGAAGGATCAGCATGATGGGAATGGATGAGATTGCCTAGGGAGAAGAGAAACAGCTTCATCTAAATCCTCAAGCATTGCAATGTTTAAGGGATGATGAAGAAATAAAGCCAGAAGGAGAAAACAGAAATCATGGTCAGAGGTGGAGGAGAAGTCAAGGAGGGGATTTTCAAGAAGGAGTGCCAAGTGCTCTAGTGAGGTAAGAAAATGAAACCATTGGAGTTGACATTGGGGTTTCCCTGGTGGCATCTGTTCAGAGTATTGAGGAATAAACGTAAGATGAGGAAGTAGAGACAGGGGTGGACTCCTCTTTGAAAACATTAGGCAGTGAAAGGAAGGAGAGTAATTTCAAATAGCCTTACATTTCAAAACAAAGCAACAAAGGAGTTGTACAAAGAGGTACATAATCAGATGCTGAATGAGTGACAGAGGTATCTTTCAGAGTCTTTCCAGCAGCTTTGGGAAGGTGGGAAATGGAGGATGGATAGGTGTCAGGTGCTGATCAGATCTGGGACAAGGAGACACAGACAGAACTCATTGTTGATGGGGTGGAATAACATGCAGGTGGAGAGGATGGGACCAAGTTGGCTTCCTGGGATGCTCAGCGCCCTGGGAGTGAGCACCAATGAGCCACTCTATTGCGGCTTTTCCTCCATTTTCAGAAGCCAGGTGCCCCATAATTCCTCTGGCAGATTATTTGCCTTCCTGAGTGCTCTCCTAATCCAACATTTCCATCTGACATATGCTGTGTCGTTCTTGCTTCTGAATTCCTGATTCCAGAGCAGTTCTGCCCTTTTCCTCCTTTGCACAGTCTGTACCTTCCCTCTTCTCTTCTTCCTCCAAATGCCAGTATTTTTGTGGTGGAAAAGGTGGGGTCAGGGGAGACAAAAGACTAGAATCCTTATCAAGTCCTCTCTCAGCCCTCCGTGGCTCTGGTTCCTTCTCTGTGAAAGGGTGACTTGTGGGTTCAGGATGGTGGATGAGGTAGGAGAGAGGGTCTGAGTTCCTTCCCACCTCTAACGATGGCTGGAACCAGGCCTCTGTGTTCACCCAAGGGTACTTTCTGTTTCTGTCCATTTAGGGAAGTTGCTTTTTCTTGGTATTTCGGGAGTCAGGAAAAGAAAAGTCATTGGTGTTCGTATCTCTGAAAGCCTCAGGTAGGGCTGCGGCTTTTGACCAACAGTAACGGATGACCATGACCTTGTGGCTGAGTTTGCACGCCTCTAACAGATATTATGACACAGAGTTCCATTCAATAGTGGAAGTGGAGATTTCAGCGCTGCCCTTTGTTAACCCTCACATAAAGTGCTATTCTTTATTGCAAGGGCTGTCCAAGCAGTAGCCAATCTTCTTACTCCATTTTGTAAATGAGGGAAAGGAGGTATAAGAAGGGCAGTGTCCTGCGGGATTCCCTGAGGAGTGCTTCCAACTCTTGCCACGTCGTCTGTGGAAGAAAAAGGGGAGGCAAGAAAAGGGTCTTGACCCTGGAGGCAGCAACTCCTTCACACCCCCACTCCCTTCCCCAGGGGCTGGGAAGCAACTCAGGTGACAGTCGCCCACTCAGGTGCCGGCCACGGAGGGCGGGAAGTCCAGCCAGAGGATGGAGCAGCAGTGCTAAACCCTGGGACTGGCTGGCATTTCTAGGAAGGTCCCTGCAGAAGGGTGCAGGTCAAGATCCCGTCCGCACAAAAGGGGTGCAGGCATTTTAAGGGTTAAGAGCACCCAAAGAAAATAGAAATAGGAAGAGGAAGTGGGTCGCAGTGAGAGAAGGAAGCAGCTCGTCGGAGCTTCCTCTTTCTCGTCTTTCCCCGAAGCCCCCCCCTCCCAGGCCTATCCCCCCGCTTCGCAAAGCCCTGCTGCGGGGCCAGAGCCGCACTTCCGATGCGGGGTCCTAACCTCCCCTCACTGCTGGGGGCTTGCTGGTGCTCCGCGCGGGCGCCCCTCGGGCCACGGCCGTGCACCGGCCAGGGTCTGTTTCTTCCGAGGGCTGGCGAGTCAGCGCCAGGGCTGCTTCTCCGGACTGGGGGGCGTGACCCAGAGGATGCGGGGCCCCGCGCGCACCTGGCGGATGCTCACCGGGTGGCGGGAGAGGCCCGCTCCGCGGTCAGCCCCGCCCCGCCAGGCCCCGCCCAGCCATGCCCCGCCCCTGACATGCCCCGCCCCTTTCCCCGCCCGTCGGAGAAGCCCTGGCGAGGCAGATGCTGGGGCGCGCCGCGCGGCTCCAGCTGGGGCGCGGTGGTCCCGACGGTCACCCGAACCGCAGGGAGTCGCCGCTGGAGAGGGGCTCGGCGCCCGGCGGGGACGGCAGGTGTGTGGCTGGGCGGCCAGGGCGGGTACGGAGGGCACGCATGTGAGCTCCAGGCAGAGCCGGAGCAAGCTGGGGACCGTCGGGTAGAGTGGGCTCCACCGAAGCACGGGGACTCGACAGGTCCTGCTGTCTTCGGGCCCCGTGGTCTGGGCCCACGGCGGGGGGCAGCGGGTCTGCAAACCTGCGCTCCAGGTCACCCAAGAGACTTAATGGGCGTCGCGGGGACCACCCACCGTTATCCGAGTAACCTCTGCCGGGCGCCTCAGTGCAACTGTGTCCTCAGCCTCCTGCCTCCGACACAGGTCGCCCTGTGTCGTGGGGTCAGGGACCCTGCCCGCTCTGGCGGGGAACTGCCCATGAGCGTGGGCATCAGGGCTTCCTGTGCCGTCAGAACCAGGGAGTCATGGAAGTGCCGGCGTGAGGCGCCCTCCGTCGAGCTCAGCCTGCTAATTAGCCAGCCTTGGCCCCAGACGCGGCTGCTGTCCTAGAGAAATGCACGCTTGCCATTCTCAGAGGATCTGTGTTTACACACTGGGCTTCCCCGCGTGACTGTGTATGTGTGTGCATGTGCGTGCGCGCGTGCTGGCCCATCCTGGCATAGGGTAAATATACAAAATGTTCGGGTCAGTAGGAGGAAGGAGATTGTTCAGAAGGAAAAGGAAGGCGAGATTAAAGCAGCAGGATGTGGTATGAGTTAACAAGACTCTGAGTGGAGGGGAGGGTGGGTTCAGGCAGAATGAGGGCTAAAAGTAGGCCAAGCCTGCCTCCAAGGTCCCCTCTGGACTGACACCCTCGTTTTCCTCCCTGTCTTCTCACTCACCCTACACTCTCCTTCCTACCCTCTGGACCACCTGTAAGGCGCTGGCTCCTAGAGCTGACTGCACTCAGGATTCTCTTGGAGCCGGCTCTACAACATGGCTTTCCAGGGATGTGATCTGGAATCTGTATTCAAACATTTTAATGAGCTTCTGAAGTGATGATGCTGAAGCCGTTGCTTGGGAACCAAGCATGATGTGGACAAGAGACCCAAGTTCCAACCAGATCCAGCTGTGTGACCTGCAGCATCACACTGTCCCCGCAATCTGGCCTCAGTCTCCTTATCTGTAAAATGGACTCTCATACTGACCCACAGAGCTGTGTGGAATTATTATTATTGTTGAGAAAGGGTCTTGTTCTGTCACCCAGGCTGGAGTGCAGTGGCATGATCACAGCTCACTGCAGCCTCAAACTCCCAGGCTTAAGCAATCCTTTGCCTCCACCTCCCATGTAGCTGGGATTATAGGTCAGCACCATCATGCCTAGCTAATTTTTGTATTTTTTTTATAGAGGCAGGGTTTTGGCATGTTGCCCAGGCTGGTCTCCAATTCCTTGAACTCAAGTAATCCATCTACCTTGGCCTTCCAAAGTGCTGGGATTATAGGCACGAGCCACTGTGCCCGTCCCAGTGTGGAAAATTAAGTGAGGCATGTATGATGAGAACGGCTGCATGTGGGAGATGCTCCATGGATGTTTGTAGAACACTGGCTTCTCTGGTTCCTCAGTGTGGCTGCAGTGGTGCAGATCTTTACCTGGAGACCCATGAAAGACAAGACAGTTTTGGATGGTCGAGCTGTCTTCCTGCTTCAGGACACCTTCCCCTGCTTTTTGAAGCTGAATAAGCCAGGAAGGCTCAGGGTCTTTGTGTGCTGGGCCTCATTGGGGTTTTAAGAACCTCCCTCTTTCATCTCTAGCTTAGGAGAGGGATGATTCATTATCTTCCCTCCTCAGGCTGCAGTAGAAGCAGTCTCTGCCTCCCTGCTTGCCTTTCCTCCCTCCCATTCACTGCTTATTGTTGCCCTAAAGAGTAACAGGTGGCCCAGCTACTAGGGAAGCTTAAGTGGGAGGATTGCTTGAGCCCAGGTGTTTGAGGCTTCAGTCAGCTATGATCATTTCATTGCACTGTAGCCTGGGAGACACATAGAGACCCTGTCTCAAACAAAAGAATAGATTGGACACTAACTGGTGACATTGGGTGACAAGAGTGTTTGGAGTTGATGTTGGTGTGAAAATGAGAAGGCAGGGGTGCAGGCTGCTCCATACCCCTGTGTTAGCCATCCATCAGGGGCCTGCTGGCTGAGAAGTGGCAGAGGAGGAGAGCCAGGAGCTGTTTTGCCTGGGCAGCCAAGAGTTTGGAAGCCCCAACTTGGGTTCCACTGAGCACTCAAGCTGTGCTGACTTGGCCTTTCTTCAAAGAAGCTCATCCCAAGGGGCTGAGCTGGCTGGTCCTGTGGGACCTCTGAGAACCAGAACACCTCTTTGGCTTCAGCTGGTGAGCTAAGAGCCTGAACCAATGTATTAAGAAAGAAAGCTGGCCAGGTGTAGTGGTTCATGCCTGTAATCCCAGCACTTTGGGAGGCCAAGGCTTTGAGACCAGGAGTTGGAGGCTGCAGTAAGCTATGATCATGTCACTGCATTCCAGCCTGGGCAATAGAGTGAGACCCCATCTTAAAAAAAAACCTCAAAAATAAAATTAAAAAAAAAAGAGAAAGCTCCTGGAAGAACAAGATAGAGTGATCCTTAGCAAATCAATGGAGAGGTTGAATTTGATTTTTGAGTTTTGGACATAGATGGGGTGGGACAAGACAAAGGAAATACTACATCCGACTTCTGCCCAAAGGGAAGATGATACCCTCCCACAGCAAACATATATTACGTAGTAGGATATTTCATCAATTTGAGGATGTGCGTATTTTCACATTTTAGCAACACTGAAATCAAGGTGCATGTTACTGTTTATGTCATCTTCCAATTATAAAAGGCAACAATATTTCCTCCTAGTGCCACACAAAATAATGGTGTATCTTACAATTGATGACATCCTAGATTCTGTTAAATATAATGTATTATTTACAGATTTGGGGGTGTTGGCGATACACAGGTTCACATGGAGTTATGTTGTTCTCTTTGCTTTCATTCATTAATTTTTCTGGCAGCTTTTCCTTCTAAGTATGGTAACTTTTCATTGTATTCCATTTTAAAAGGAATCTTTGACTAGGTGTGGTGGCTCACTCCTATAATCTGAGCACTTTGGGAAGTTGAGGAGGGCAGATTACCTGATATTGGGAGTTCGAGACTGGTCTGACCAGTATGAAGAAACCCTGTCTTTACTAAAAATACAAAATTAGCTGGGCGTTGTGGTGCATGCCTGTAATCCCAGCTACTCGGGAGGCTGAGGCAGGAGAATCACTCGAATCCAGGAGGTGGAGGTTGCAGTGAGCAGAGATTGTGCCACTGCACTCCAGCCTGGGTAACAAGAGTGAAACTCCATCTCAAAAAAAAAAAAAAAAGAAATCTTTGTAAAATATGCTGCTTGCAATTATAAATGTAGCACATTGGATATGATGCAATAATTTCTTGATATTTTCATCAAATGGTTCTGGCCTGCCATTCTTTTTTGTACCCTGTGTCATTTTATCCATTTGTGGTTCTTTCTCTTTCATCCTGTTCCCATCCTCTTCTCTTCTGACTATGACTTCATGCTGCTGGGCACTGTGCTAAGTATGTCATGTCCTTTATTTTCACAGTCACATTCTGAGGTAGCTACAATTATTGCTCCCATTTCACATGTGTGAAAACCGAGGGCCAAGGCCACATGTGTAGGAGGTGCCAGAGCTGGGCTGACTCTGGCATCTGCTCTTAACCAGATATGACCAAGTTCAAGTGGTGGCCTAGGTGCTCCTGTAGGTGTCGAGTGCGTGCCCCATATAGCACCATTTGGGGGGCATGAATTGTGGTCAGGAGGTGCTTTTGTTTGGCTGCCTGCCTCTAGGATAACATCTAGCTTCTGGATAGTTGAGGTTATTGGTTAAGTGACTTCCAGATAAGTGAGTCACAGCTACAGCAAGTTACACCCAAAAGGGGGTTGGGGGCTGATGAATGGGAAGAAATGGATGACTTTCTTTCTTTCTTTCTTTCTTTTTGGAGACGGAGTTTCTCTTTGGTGCCCAGGCTGGAGTGCAGTGGTGTGATCTCGGATCACTGCAATCTCCGCCTCCCAGGTTCAAGCAATTCTCCTGTCTCAGCCTCTAGCTGGGATTACAGGCACCTGCCACCACACCTGGCTGTTTTGTATTTTTAGTAGAGACAGGGTTTCACTGTGTTAGCCAGGCTGCTCTTGAACTCCGGACCTCCAGTGATCCGCCTGCCTCAGCCTCCCAAAGTGCTGGGATTACAGGCATGAGCCACCGCGCCCTGGACGAAATGGGTGACTTTCATGGCACAGAGAAGATCCTGGGTCCTTCTTGAGTCTTCTGAGTCTACCAAGTGGGATGCTGGACTTTGGGCACTAGAGTTTGGCATCCGTGGGAGACGCCTTCTTCCATGGGAGCTTCTCTCCTGCTGCCATGGTGATGTAAGATAACACATCTGCTGAGTCACTTTTCTTTTTTATTTTACTGTACTATTACTTTTTTAGATGGAGTTTTGCTCTTGTCACCCAGGCTAGAGTACAGTGGTATGATCTCAGCTCACTGCAACCTCTGCCTCCCAGGTTTAAGTGATTCTCTTGCCTCAGCTTCCCGAGTAGCTGGGATTACAGGTGCCTGCCACCATGCCTGGCTAATTTTTGTATTTTAGTAGAGATGGGGTTTCACCATGTTGGCCAGGCTGGTCTCGAACTTCTGACCTCAGGTGATCTGCATGCCTCAGCCTCCCAAAGTGCTGAGATTACAGGTGTGAGCCACTGTGTGAGTCACTTTTCAGCTGAAAGCCCTGCAGAGTGGCATGTGTCTCCAGAGATGATCCACACCCA